TTCGTTGGACATTTGAAAGCCTTAGTGATGTCAGAATTCAGTGATCTTGGGCTCGTTGGATTTGTCTCGTCGAGCCGTTCGATTCGAGTACAAGTTGGTTAAAATCGGAGACCGTTTGGTAACTCAAATTGTGATTTGAACTTTCCAACAGCGCTTCAGATATTCCATTTGGATCCATCTGGGCTCGGATTGGGTTGAATTTGGTTTCTTAAGGTTCGTCTTTTCAAGATGTTCAATTCGACTATAAGTTTGCTGAAATTGGAGTTCATATGATCCCAAATTGAATTTTTGAAGTTTTCAATTTAAATTTTGCCTCCACATTTGTGCCCGATCATTTATTTGTGTCGTTGGATCCGTATTTCCAAGACGCTCAGTTTGACTGTAAGCTCGCTGAAATCGGTGTTCGGGTGCTTCCAGATTTAATTTTTGAAAATTTCCAACTCTATTTTTCCTCAAGATTCGTGCTAGATCAAGCATTTTTTTATAATGTATCAGTTGCCCCCCTATTTTAGGACGTTAAAGCTTATATAGTCCGAAAATATACATACTTGTATCCTTTTGAGCTGCTTATGATTGATAATTATGTATTTAAGTAAAAATGATACTTTTATCTAACAGTTTACTCACTCTACCGCCACGAATCTTTCAGACCGCAACAATTATAACTTATCTTAATCAATCTTGAACACTATGTGGATGGAGTTATCATTTATTACAACAAATATATACTTCAAATAATAGCACATGACCAAAAGGCTCAGATCCATCTTCTTCTTAAAGCTCAATCCAACAAATTAACTTTCAAATATGAGATTTTTTCGCAAAATTTTGTAAAATCTATTTCTAAAAGGAAAACTTATGCTAAACAAACATAACCTTCATGAGATATTCAATTAAATCGTTTTCACCTTAACTAATCTTCCATTTCAATTCAAACTCAATTTAAGAAGAAGATTCATTGCTCTTTGTCACTCGCATATAGTTTGATGATGTTCGGTTAAGTGGTATGGCTTCAGCACCATTTGGATCCTCGGATCGGCGATGCGACGGCCCTATCTACTATTATGCACATCAGATAAATATTAAGGATAAGAAGAAAAATGGGGGAAGGGGAGGAGCCTCGACGCCTCATCTTTCGCACGAAGAGTTAGAAGTTGAAAAGAAAATGTACAATTTATTATATTAAATGAAAATAATAAATTTTATACTTTAAATGGAAATAAAAGCATGACCACCTAGATGAAACTTGTAACGGTTACATTAAATGAAAATAATAAATTTTATACTTTAAATGGAATTAATGGCATGACCACATAGATGGAACTTGAAATGGTGCCACCTTTAGTGCTTTAAATAAATTTTAGATTAATTTGGATTAAAACATTTATTTTAACATTAATAAAACAATTAATATAATAGTTGAAATTAAAGTTGAACGGACAAGATAATATTTGAAGAAATAAAATGAAAGGTCAAGATTTGATATGAGTGAAAACTCAAATCACTTAATAGTAGTATAGATTTATTTGTTATAACAATAATCATTCAATTCTGTTATATCATACTTAATTATTTAATAAGCTCAAACTTTATTTGAGCATTGAATAAATTTCATCAAAATCTTTCTTCAACTATCTAATTAGTTTTTCTAATAATATTTTATTTGAATTTTATTTTATCTTGTTATTATTTATCTAATAATGTATTATTTAAGTGCCCATTTTTTTTAATTAAAACGATTCACGTTCACATAAGATTTGAATAATATTTGTTCATGAATTGAATTTTTTCATGATTTCAGTAGTGATGAGAATTTGTTAAAATTTTATTTCAATGGACTTGGGAAAGAATTTCGTGAATGAGAATATTATGATCCCTTTATTTCTTCAATTTCAACTATTACAGGATATATCTCATTTAATATTATGGGACATTTAGATCAATTAAGATAAATTCACATACATATCACATACGTAAGCTTCAAACCAAAAAATTCTTAGTTGATAATCAAAACTTCTCATAAATATGAGTTGCGCTTAGGGGTAGAGAGAAGCGGAGGGGGCTAGGGGGCGCACGTGCCCCCCACCCCACTCTCTCTCTCGAAATTTTGAATAGCCTGCGTCGAGAGCTTCCAGTGAGCGATTAAAAAAAAAAATCAAATAAAATTTATAAGCATGTCTTCATAGAGTATATTGATTTTTTATAATGCATATAAAATTATAAATAATAAAATGATTAATTGAATTTGAAAATAAAAATCAATTGAAATAATGTTAAAGTTGAGTCCTTTTAAAATTTTTTGGTTTCGCTACTGCTTCGTATGTATTAATTCTTTTTATAACTGATCTTTCATACTCAGCTGTGTTTAATGATGTAGATGATTTTGATCTATAGATTGTGAGTTTTGTCTTTTATGTATTTAATATTTACATGAATTGAAACAAATATTAAATATTTAAAAAAAAAAAGTTCGAATGTTTCTTCACCTGACGACCGCACCCAAGTTTCGATCCAAACCTACGCCATATTAAATCCACGCGTTACGCGACTATACTCCCGACCATAGCATTACAGTATAACTCTTGCTTTCCGATTCGACCGCCATCCTTTCTCGTTATTGTAACGGAGGTCATATAGATCCCGATCTCCGCCCTCTCATCTTCTCCTTTTCTCGCCTCGTTGGTATCCATGGCTTCCTCCTTCTCGCCCGGCGGCCCCTCGCGGCCTCGACCCGGCTACTATCCTCCTTCCATCGCAAACCCATCCCCTAACCCTAGTCCAGCCTCCTCGCTCCCGGGGACCATGCAGAATCTCCAGATCGGGCGCCCCTCTGCCCCATCCGGCCCTCCTCCATTCCTCTCCGGCATTTCCGCGTCCGCCTCAGGCGGATCTCGCCCAGGTCCTCCCCCTCAATCACTTCCCACTCGGCCCCAATTTCAGCAGCCGCCGGCCATGTCCAACGGCCCACCATCCATTGGCGTATCCGGTCCCCGATTTCCTACCCAGGCTACTTTGAGGGAGCCTACTCCTACGATCCCAACCCAGGGTTCTCGCGCTGTTCCCGGAAGCTCTTCCGCCGGCTCGCCGGCGAATGATTTGGTGCCACCGTCGATCTACAATTCCTCTTTTTCTGCTCCAGCTGCTGGTGTTCCGATGGCTCCTCCTTCTCTTGTTAGCAGCCCTCCACAGTTGCATTCCTTGATGGGAGGCCAACCATCGCATCCTTTGGCGGGAGGTTCGCCATCGCAGCCCCTGGCGGGAGGTCCGCCATCGCAGGCCTTGAGGGGAGGTCCGCCATCGCAGCCCTTGAGGGGAGGTCCTCCATCGCAGAACTTGACGGGAGGTCCGCCATCGCAGCCCTTGACGGGAGGTCCGCCATCGCAGCTCTTGACGGGAGTTCCGCCATCTCAGCCCTTGACGGGAGGTCCGCCATCTCAGCCCTTGATGGGAGGTCCGCCATCTCAGCCCTTGATGGGAGGTCCGCCACGCCAGCCCTTGATGGGTGGGCCGCCATCGCAACCCTTGATGGGAGGTACGCCGTCACAGCCCTTGATGGGAGGTCCGCCATCACTGCCGTACATGGGACAGCCGCAGATGGTGCAGTACTCAGGGATGCGGCAGCCTCTTCCTCCTTCTGGTGCTGCTCCACCATTTGGATCGCCTCCTGTTTGGCAACAGCAGCAGCCTCGCCCGGTGAGTTGGTTTTCCATGCGCATGCTGTTTATGGTTTAAACTTCAACTTGATTTCTAGGAGCTGGATTTTGTTTGGTTTAGGTTGTTTGTAGCTGAATATGCCGGGCCTTGTTACTTGTTTTAGCTATGAGCATCCGTTGATTCCTGTTGATGTTATAATTGGTTATTTAGGAGAGTAGTGTGTGGAAGCGCTATTTAGTTTAGTCTTATTCGGCATCTGTGCTGATTATGCTTATGTTATTCTCTTGTTGGATGGTTCGAGAGAACTAGTTCTCTATTGTTGCTTTAGAGTTTCTCTTGTGAACTTATTAGAGGTGCATGTTAATGCAATAATTGTATCATATGCTGGTTAATTTGCTTAAATCTGTATTTTAGGCCGTCTGGGTAATTGGTCTGGTTGCGGGTTACTAGAATGGATTTAGTTTTTAGATTATATATGCCCGGTGATTCTATATGTAAAATTTTTTGGATATGTTATGTATTCCGAGCTTGTCCTTTTTTTTTTTTCCCGAAGATTGCTGTTATTGCTGAAACTATTTAGGTTGGGCCTATTTTTTTTTTTACTTCTCTACCATATATACTTCCAAGAATTGTTATGGCTATGAGTTGTGTTAAATAGGATGCCTCATTTCCCCTTGTTGCATTAGATACTTCAGGCAAGGTCTCTTAATTTGATACGTACTGAATTTGTGTCGACGTGGTGGCCCAAATTGGATATAAGAATGGAAGAGATTGGGAAGGATTCTTTTAACGGCAGTCAAGCAATTTACACAATTTGGTTGGGAATTCACACCCAAACAATAGACACTAATTCACCCTTGAAAGAAGACTTACACTTTTTTTAAACCCAACATAAAAGGTAATTCTTGATGTTCTTGGTTTCACTATGTTCCCATCCATGATAAAACTCAACATCAAATTTCACAAGTTAGTTATGAATCATTAGTTAATGGATACAAATATGATATGTTGAATGTTTGACTATAACCTATCCCTACTGGTAATTATATTTGGCATGCATTTAGTTGAATTATCTTCACAAATCGATGTTCTTCTCGTTAACTTTGTGTTAGTTGCTTGTTGGAAATATCTCTTTTCAAAATGCACCATCATCATGCCACATTCCCACTTTATATTTCTACACCAATTGTAGATTTTGTGCATCAATGTTATTCTCAAAGTTCTTATACTATTTTTTTTTTTGTCTTTTTTGTTGGTGAACTTATTTGATGTTTTTTGCTAGTTCCTTTGCATCAACCTTCTCTTATTAAACATGAAGTTGGTGCATATTCTAAGTTGTCATGTGTTCTTCCATATTCCACTTTGGATGTGAACTTTAGCTTGATCAGCATTTTGTGTTGTAGACAAATCTGGCTTGAGGGATGACTTCATTCTATTGTTGTTGGTGTTCACTTGGAAGGCAACAATGTGTGTCACCAGGAGAGTGGTTGACCACCCCTAATTTTGGGCATGATAAGTACTTGGTAATTTGTTTAAGCATTTAGAAATTTTCACAACATCCTTTAAAAGTAGTTTACAAATTGCATGTTTCGTTCCCAAGTGATGCACTTTGGCATATCATGAATCTTCACAAAAATTTACTTAAAGAAAAGTTCTGCAAAATTGGAGGCAACTATGCCATTCTTATAGGGAACAAGGTGAGCCATTTTAAAGAAGCGATCAACTTTTACAAAGATAAAGTTATTAGATCTTTGTGCTTGGTAATCCAACTGCAAAATTCATGCTTATGCATTACATTGGGATGGTTCAAAATTTGCATGGGTTGGTATAATTGTAAGTCATGTCTTCTTCTATACCATTTTTGGCTAGTCATAGATTTTTTGCAAATTTTTTACATATATATTAATTTTTTGTCTAAAACATATACAAAGTTTTATCTCTTTTAAAATATTTGTCCAAACCACTACTATTTAATTCAAGAATAACCTGAACAGTGGAGATGTAATGAACTAGTAGTAATGCAAAGATGAGTAAATTAGAAAATATAACCCATTAGTGATTGAAATATTTTTCGCTTTTCCCCCCTACACTTTTGATAAATAGGTGGGAAATATAAATTATTCCTAGTTGATTCAATTATATGTCAAATCCGATGATTCTGAATGACAAGATATCATGACATGGTTTTCTACTAAGTAAATCAACGAATTTATCTAAAACATTGAACTTATGATAGGTAACTGTTAAATCCCAGCCATCCCTTGGCCCTTGATCCCACGACTAGCATGTGAATACATGGGAGGCTCACCTGGATCATGTTGTTAAATCTCAGCTGCCCTTTGGTTCTTGATCCCATAGCCAACATGGGATTCGTGGGAATGTCACCTGGATCACGCCCATCTCCTTCCGTATTATGGTGGCTGATTTAGGAATGATTATTAAGGCAATTATGCATGATTCTATAGTTATTTACTTCTTTATTAAGACATATTGTATAGATCTATAAATAGATATGGTTTTGTATAATAAAATTAAGCATTTTTTCTCTCCAATTTTTTGAATTTAAGATGGTATCAGAATTAGTTTCCCACCACCGGCCTTCATTCTCAGAATTATGAGGAATACTGGTCCTTCCATTGAACTTCATTACCGAAATTGCTGGGGTATAAGAATCGAAGGAAGCATATCGGAGAAAGCAACCTTCATTGCAGCTGGAGATCGAACGAGAGTCGAGTGATCCAAATCACTCATGTCCTTTGTTTTGTGCTTGTAGTTAGAAGAAGCGGAGACATGAGTCTCTCATGGATCCAAAATTGCTTAGAGATCGAGCGGGAGCGCTCCTCTTGCATGCATTTGGGGTGGAACTGAGTGGAGCTGAGCGAAATCCTCTTCTCGCATACGTGCGACTGTACGGGGATGAGAAATTGTGCATCTGGACAACGACTAGGACCTCCCGCGAACGTTGGCATCGTGCTTGGTCTTCGTTCTTGCATGTGACGTCCATTGTTGACCGAGCAAAAGCGGGATAAGTTGAGTGCAGGACCTACTCTTGCATGCATCTGGATAGCGGTCAGGACCTCCTCTTGGGAATGGCGTCATCAGGCTCTGTCTTCGTCCCTGCATACGATCAAGAGAGGAGTGACGTTCCTCTTGGTCATCTGCTTCGTGTGTCTCTTCTTGGAAGCCGAGTGGAGAGGAGTGAGTAGGAACCCTTGTAAGTGCGAAGGAGATCGAGGCTCTGTGCATGCGTTCTTTCCTACGCTGAAGTAGAACCTAGTGGGAGGAGTCATGCAGGAATTTTTTTTGTGTGCGTGCCTAGGAAGAGATGAACACTTGGTCGGTGGCTTTGTGCCCGCCTGCAAGGGACCAAGAACTTAGAGTCCTTATTATCATACCTGCAACCTCTCTAGTGCACATCTGTGCAAATGTCGCATGATGATTTAATGCTGCAGGATGGGGTCAATGAAATCGGGAATAAACTGTCGTCTCCTTCATTCGATTTACAATAGCTTATGTTACTTCTTGATAAAGTTGAAAATTTATTGTCGAGAATGGCACAATTTCCATCTATTTTAATGTTGACTGCTGTTAAGCCTGTTATGAAGGCACTGATTGCTAAGGATCTTCTGGGGCACTCAGACATGGATGTGAAGGTTTTCATCGCATTCTGTCTTAGTGAAATAACAAGAATAACAACACCAGATGCTCCATATGATGATGATATATGGAAGGGGATATTTGGATTGATTGTTGGAGTTTTAAAAATTTGGATGAGATGTTAAGCAATTCATTTCCTAAGAGATTTTCAATACTTGAAATTGTTGCAATGGTTCGATCATGTGTTTTAATGTTAGATTTTGATTGTGATGATTTGATACTGAAAAATTTTCAGCATTTTCTGAAGATAATAAGGTCAAAGCATTATGATACTATCCTATCCTTAATGTAGATTATTGTGACACTTGTTTTGGAGGAGATTGAAAGTATTTCTATACAACTTCTTTCATGTTTGTTAGATACAGTCAAGAAGCTATATGAGAAAGTGCTTGTTTACTATTCCTTGAAGCTAAAGCCTTATTTGGCTAAGTTTTTAATGGCAATGCTGCTCTATTAAGTGATTACAACAAAATTGTTGCTGCTGTATTTCAGGGGAAATTTGACAATTCTATATAGAATGAAATGAACGCTTCTGGTGAAAATCATGAAGCTAACCATAAATTATATGAGCGGTTCCTTTATGACGACTAGCCTTAGTGATCTGCATAACAGGAAGTGAAATTTTTTATCTTGAAGAATCTGTTCTGCTGCAGACAAATCTTCCAAACCAGTGACAAATAATGGATCTTTTCAGAATGGGAATGGTGATTCCATGGCTGCAAAGAAAAATGCTGAATTTCACCATCATAATGATAAATCTAGAGTTGATACTGAACATAGCTTGTATTCAAGCACAACAAAACCTGATAGAATACCAGATATAAGTTCTCGCAAAGGAGGATGAAATGCTTCATTGCAAATGTCAATTAGCAATGATCAATATGGAATTGGTAATAAAAAAAAATATCGGAATGATTCTAACAAAAAGCTCCAAAGTAATGGAGGTAGAAGTGGATCTAAAAAAGTTAAGAGTAAGATTATTGAAAACCTAGCTAATTGCTAGCACTAAGAAGCATAAAAGAGTTATGTATGCTGAGTATGAAGGCAAATAATTGAAATTAAAGGAAGTTCTCTTCTTTAAAAACTCTATAGTGAAATATTTGGTTAATGATCATAGCCATGTTAAAGATACATGTAAAACAAAATCAAGATGGAAGCATGCTCAGGTCGTACAAGAGGCTTCTGGGCCAAGGATTGTTGGTTCAATGATAAAAATTTTGTGGCTAGATGATCAAAGATTTTATGATGTTAGTGTTGATTCTTTTGATCTTAGTACAAGTTTGCATAAAATTTTGTATGATGGTGATGTAGAGATGCAGCTCCTAAAGAAAGAGCAGTGGGAGTTTATTGGAGGTGAAACCAAGATGTATGGGGTGTAGGAAAAGGATGAAATTGATGCTGTAAATATTATTACCAAGGGACTGGATAACTATACCTTTATGGTACTGATTACTAAGTTGGGAATGACATGTATGTATTTTCCAGCTTGAGGGGGAGTGTTAAATCCCAGCTATCCCTTGGCCCTTGATCCTAGGACTCGCATGGGGATCCTTGGGAGGCTCACATGGATCACGCTGTTAAATCTCAGCCGTCCCTTGACCTTTGATTCCACAGTCAGCATGGGGTTTTGTGGGAGGCTCACCCGGATCACGCCGTTCTCCGTATATATTTGGGTGGCTGATTTAGGAAGGATTATATTAAGGCAATTATGCATGATTTCATAGTTATTTTTTTATTTACTAAGACATATTGTATAAATCTATAAATAAAGATAGTTTTGTATGATAAACTTAAGCATTTTCCCTCTCCAATTCTCTGAATTTAACAGTAACAAGCATTTTTTTTGGGGAAACATGAAATCCAATTACCATAAAGCATAATTTATTTTGAACAAAGTTATGTCCCCCGAAATTGGTAAGCTTGAATGGCTGCATAAAATTCCAAACTATATAGAAATACACCAAAAACCTCTTTGTTCACAACTTATTTGGTATTTTTGCTACCAAGCTGATGCATGTTTGAGTTTTTATCTAACAAATTGAGCTTTTCATTTTTCACTATATTCTTTCTACTCATTTAAGAGAGGCAATCCAATCATTGTAATAATTGTGATCACGGTGACCATGAAAGTCAAGCATGCAGACACAAATGCTTTTGTCGACTGTTTCAATCACATTTTTTTGTCAATCCATGGCCTAAATGGACTGTGGTTGAGGTTGTTGCATGATCTATGATTGATGTGGCATTTTCAAGATTGACCTTGGAGTAAAATCCTTCTCAGGTAGTTCCTCTGGCATGTTGAATGATTGCACCTAACTCGTTGACTTGCCTTTCAGTTCCTTGTGAAAGCTTTGTGATGGTAATCAATAAAGCACCTCTTCCAACATATGTTGGGAGTTAGCAGTAGATTGCCTGGGATCATTAAACTCATCTTCAAGTGTTTGAGCAAATGGTAAAAAAAAAAAAAAGGTTTGGGGATTGACTTACCCCAGTTTTAGGGACTCAATCATCCTTGAAGGACTGAAGGACTTATACCAATTGATGTAGCACCATAATTTGTGAGCGTTAAAGCGTTTAAGATGGATTATATTTCTAGGACTTAAGCAAATTACATAAAATGCTTGGGGATTCTCCCACCCAGATTTGTGGTAATCACCCACCTTTACAAGAAACCAAATTTCAAACCTTAAGCAAATGCGATTGCTATTGATTTTGGATTTTTCATCACTACAGGAAGTAGGCCTGTGATTATCTATTAAGGAATGTGAAATTGTGTTCATTACCCGATGGTTAAGGAGAATTAATCCTATGTTATTGGGAAGTTGCGTTTTCTAGGATTTTAGATGCTTATGAATGTTTAAGGCTAAAAAATTTGTGTACACCTTTTGCCTTTGCAATTCATTTGTTTAGAAACAACTTCATTTAACATTTATCATTTAAATTAAATTTGATTTGGAAATGAAAATGCTTTCTGAATTGAACTATCTTCCCAATGTCTAAATTTTTGGATCACCCATATGATGGCTACTTGGCAAGTTGGCTGGTTGCATCAGGTCCTAACTTTCTTTTTTAAAATTCATTGTTTATCATTTCATTTCTCGGATGACTTGTAAGGTAATAGATTTATGCTATTCCATATGGATTTCCAAATGTTTGATCACTCTGCTAAATAACAAAGCTTAAAAATGCATTTTCAAGAATGATATTTGTTTTTAAAGTTTTTATGCATTGTGATGTGGTTTTCCCAAGAGGCTTATGTTTCTTATTTCAGGGTGTTGCACCTGTGTCAAGTATGGTACAAGCACCACCACAAATGTTTGGTGCACCTCCAAGCCCGTTCACCCAACCTAGGCCTCTAACTCCACCAGTGATGGGAAATTCACCACTTGCTTGGTCTCATTCATCAACTCCATCAACAATTGATCCCAATCAGATTCCACGACCCATGGTCGATTCCTCGGTTATTGTTTTTAATACTCGTCAAGGAAATCAAGTGAACAGCCCTCCGGTATTTTTGCCATTAATTTTTCAAGAAAGTTATTGCAATTGATTTTTTATGTTCTTAGACTAAATGAGTTGATATATCTTTATCCAATTATATTCTTTTTTTGACCCGCTTCCTTTTTATTTTCCCTCCACAAAGCCTGCCACTAGTGATTTCATTGTGAAAGACACTGGCAACTGCAGTCCACGGTTGATGAGATGCACGATGAATCAGGTGCGAAATCAGCTTCGTGTATTTGCTTAATTGTTTCCTTGCTCTAAATAGCATATGCTATTCATAGATACCATGCAGCGGAGACCTTTTATCAACATCTAGCATGCCATTGGCTTTGTTGGTACAACCTATGGCAATTCCAAATCCAGATGAGGAGCCTATCCAAGTAATTCTTTCCTTGGTTATTTGTTTATTCATATTATGTCAAACTTCGCTGGTCTTTTGTTGTTTCAGTAATTACCATACTACATATTAATGAAATTTAATGGTTTTGGGAATATCTATTTGGCGTTATGAAACTTATGTGAATGGTGAAGTGTTTATCCGGAACCTTTTTGTTATTCTCTTAATGATAATCTACATACTCTTTTTGATTTTTTCCCTCAAGGTGACGCTTGCCATTAAGAACACTTTAAACTGTGAATTCATTGCGTTTAAAAAGAAACCAGAGTGGTTTGTTTTGCATAATTCAACAAATGCCAGAGAAAAAAACCTGTGTAAAACTGATTTTTTAGTAGGAAGCCTGCTGGCCACTTGACAATACTGTGAGGAAGAAGAAATTAAGGTGAAAGCACGCCTTCTATTGATCCATTTGCTTTCTTTACTGATGCGTTTATTAATGTTGATTCCAGAGAGGTCCATTTCATCAGATCAATGTCTCACCATGCAGACTTTTGCATTGATTATTGGAATTGCATTATTACTTGCCATTATTTTTTCTGTTATTCACAGGTCCTATTTGGCATTTTGGCTAACGTTTTAGGAGGTCATGGAGCAAGGAAGACCTTTAAAGTCTGTTGGACCGGTCCAGGTTTACATGTTTATAGCTGGAGATGGAATACTTCTGCCTCCACATTAGTTCACTCCCTTTGGGGGGTGGGGCCCTGCAGCAGTCAAGATCAATTAAGAGGGGATTAGGAGAGAATTTTCAAATTAGGGGGGCTGATCGGGTATTTTGCTGAATTAGCATGCTTTAAATGGTATGGTAAAACTTAGGGTAAGGTAATATTGGTGTTTGCTGAATTTGGTAGTCTTCTTAGGTTTGTTTAGGCTCTAGTCGCTAGCTAGAGATTGGGAGAGTCAGATCTTCCTCTCGAATTGAAGATCCATTGTTCAGGCTCTAGTCGCTGGCCAAGAAGGTTCGATACTTTGAAAGAAAGTCTTGAGGGAGAGATGATCCAAATCAAAGCAGTGGAGGACAAAATTTCCTCCATGGAGGACAAATTCTCAGACCAATAAGAGATGGTGAAGCTGTTGGATCTTCATAACCAAACGGTGACATCAGAGGCAAGAGTCCTGGTAGGATGAAATACAAATTCTGATAATCGTAGGGATGATCATGAGGTGGAGATCTTGGAGGGAGAAGGAAGAAGAACCCTGCTAGAGCCTATTCAAAGGAAGGATATATGTAGGAGGTATGAGGAGAGGCATGTATATGTTGGATATGAGCAAAGAGGTGCTGATCTTGAAAGAAGAGAGAGTGATTATGATTAGAGAGGTATTGATTTTGAAAGGAGGGGGGAATTCCAAGAAGGGTTTGGGTACGAGCATGGAAGGGAGGATTGAGATACTTTGAGGGGGATACCACTCACTTGGGGAATGAAAAATTATGGAGGAATTAGAAGGAACAGAGGAGATCCGAGGGCGAGGAAGCTGAAGATGCCGATTTTTGAGGGTGAGGATGCACATGGTGTATATACAAGGTTGAGAGGTATTTTTTCGTCAATGGATTGATAAAGGATGAGAGATTGACGACAGCTGATATTGGCCTAGTACTAGTGGAGACTCATGAGACGACCCATTCGGAGTTGGAGGGAGTTCAATGACTGCTTGTTGGAACGTTTCCGAACCAGCGGGGGAGGGGATTTCTATGAACAATTCTTTGCTCGGATGTAAGAAGGCTATGTGGTGGAGTATTATGAGAGGTTTGAGTACCTAGCTAGCCGATTGGATTGACTTTCTGAGACTGTAATTTAGGGGAATTTCATGAAGGGGCTCAAACCCGTGATCAGGGTGACTGTTAGAGTGATGAGGCCTCGTGACTTGGTGGAGGCTATGGAGCTAGCCTAGTTGGTGGAGGACCTGAAGCACATAGAGAGGGGGGCTAGAGGCAACAACTCAGGAGGCTCGTACAGAATGACCACCACTTTCTTAACACCAAAGGGGCCAACACAAGGTGTAACACCCCATATTCAAATTTGGAAGAATTTTCTATTTGTCATTTTAAAAAATATACCAGAGCTTCTATAAATTATCAATATAAACAATAACCAGTGAAAGCAAATAAAATTATATATATATATATATATATAATTTATTCACCAAAACGTCATTTACACTAGCCAGGAGATCACTACAATCATTAATTAATCATAAGCTTTTGACTACAAAAGAATAAAAAATAAAAGATAAAACAAAATTTAAAGAATTTGATCTTTATCAGTATCACTGCTCACAATCCTGACCCATTCCCTGACCTAAATCATTAAAATTCACATAATAAGTTAATAAGCCCAACATAAAACTAAAACTCTATCATTGCTTTCAATGCAAGATAAAAAATTAATTTTTATGTTTCAGTTCTAGGTAATAACAATAATTACTTAATACGAGCAATAAAAATCTCAAAAATAAATAATAAAATCAATATGATCAGTGAAGTAAAAATAGATCTAACAAATTTTAAGACATACGATAAAAAAGTACTATCATTTAATGAATCATGTCAGTATGCTATGATATGTTGTATCAATATTGATGCTAGTACGATTTCAATTATACTATCAATCAATTCAAATGCACTATCATGTAAATGCGATCATGTGTGCAACTTTTTTTTTCCACCCCAACAACTCCGAAACTCTTGAATCCCGAGCGATATAAGTGGATGCCTCAATTCATCCTTCAATCATCTAAAAAACTTATAGCATTTTTCATCAGCAGTACTGACCAGTTAAGGTGCATACCTGACCAGTGCGGTAAACTCTGCCTCATAATATATCACTGTCCTGTTCTCCTGCTCCATTCTCATGAAAGCCTCTTGCATCTCTTGTCGGGCTGACGTAGGTACAAACCAGCCTCTGAAGACAACAACAAATTCTATCTAAGTGATCTTTGCATTCATTTTTCCTTGAAGTTTCTCCCGTTGTTGTCTTATCCACCATCTCTTTGCTTCTCCTTCAAATATGAACACTACAAGTGGTACTTTTCGATTCTTTGGGCACTGCATACTGCCAAATATCTTTTCTATCCTCAACAACCAGTCATTTGTTGTCTGTGGCTCTATGATTCCTTTGAATAATGGGGGCTTCAACTTATGGAACATCTGTAGATGCTTATCCCCTTTTGACTCCTTGTATCCCACCTGTCTACTCTGAGCATCACTCATAACATGTGCAAGCATGCTGGCTAATTGCATCAAATTGTCAGATCTCACTGGCGCTACTGCTGCACTCTGTCAATTTTGTGCATCCTGATCAATATGGTCCATTTATCCACTAATAAAATTATCTTTCCTAATCAATAACGCACAAAATAAACATGCAATAAAGGTTATTACAAAAATTATGACTGACATTGGGCCTAATTAAGAATGATACCCAAAAAAAAAAAAATTGTAAGCGACAAAATACAGGCTATTACACCGAGTACACTTCGAGAGACTCCAAAGGAGAAGCCTGTAGGGGGGAGAATTGGGGGAAATTTTGAGAAGCTCATTGAGAAGCTTTAGGAGAAGAGGGCTAGAGGATTGTGCTTCAAATGTGATGAGAAATATATACCGGGGCATATGTGTAAGGATCGAACTCTTTAGGTTCTCACTTTGTGCGATGTCAACAAAGGTGAGGGAGGTGGGAGTGAGGCATTGGTAGAGGAGGAAGAGAGGCATCTGAACTTGTCGGAAGTCTTTTTGAACTCAGTAGTGAGATCCACTCCAAATCACACCATGAAGGTGGAAGGAGAAATATCAGACAAGAAGGTGATAGTGTTGATAGACAGTGGGGAGACCCTCAATTTTATCTCTAATTAGGTTGTAGACCAATTGGGGGTGAAATTAATGAACATAGGGTATTATGAAGTGATGATGGGCATTGGAAAGGTGGAGATAGGTAGAAGAGTGTAGGGGAGTGATTGTGATCATATAGGGGGTCCAGGTGAGAGAGGACTTCTTTTCATTGGAATTGGGGAGTACTGATGTCATCCTGGGGATGAAATTACTATAGACCTGGTGGTGAAGGGAAGAAGGGTGATGATTAGAGGTGATGCAGGGTTATTTAGTACATATTACTTTACAGTCTTATTATGTCAAATCACAGTATATCACTTTTCAACTCATTTTCAATTTGTCTATTTTCCTACTCATTTTATCTAGAAATTCTTATGCACATATTTTACTTGTGAAAATGCAATAAAATCTTATCATATTGTTCAAAAATGATCAAATCTATAGCATATCAAAACCTATATGATGAATGCTTATAAAATCATGATATAATATATTTTTTGGTAGATTTAAAAGAGATAAAATCCGTAGAAATCAAAATAATTGAAAACAAGAAGAAAAGATTAGTCACTTTCAATGGATAAAACAAAATTTGTAATAGGAACGACAGACAAATACGATCCAAAGACCTTTCTCTCTCATTTATCTTATTCTCCTTCTTCAATTTCGTTATGGTCAAGCAATCAAGTGAGATAGGCAGTGGGGAAACAAAACTATTTATAATAAAAAAAATATAAAAACACTATTAGTGGCCTAACACAATAACTCTCTACTTCAGAATTTTTATGTTTTTTAAATAAATTCATTTCACAATTTTTGGTTATTACATATCCAAAGCCATGGTATCACATAAAACTATGGTGAGGATTATACATGAGATGGGAGGAGGAATTCTTGTGGAGCAGCATAGTTTATGGGGGATTAGATTGGAGAAGAGGGGAGACATACCTCCTTCAATACATCCACTTATACAACAGTTCAGTAAGGTCTTTCAATCACCTTAAAGATTGTCACCACCAAGGGAGCAAGAGTACGCCATCACTTTGAGGGAGGGGGTGTGATCGATTAGTGTCAGGCTACATCACTACCCTCTTATTTAGAAGGATGATATTGAGAAGCTGATCAGAGAGATGTTGGAGGCAAAGATCATAAGGCTGAGTGTGAGT